TTTACGCCATTCTCCTGCCTCAGCCTCCCGAGTAGCTGGGACTACAGGCGCCCGCCATCTCGCCCGGCTAGTTTTTTGTATTTTTTAGTAGAGACGGGGTTTCACCGTGTTAGCCAGGATGGTCTCGATCTCCTGACCTCGTGATCCACCCGTCTCGGCCTCCCAAAGTGCTGGGATTACAGGCTTGAGCCACCGCGCCCGGCCTGTTTTTTTTTTAAGGGTAGATTCGAAAGTACGTCTGGTATGTGCATAGGAATGATCACCAGAGGGGTAGAGATTGATGGGACAGAACAAGTAGAAGAGTCAACTGAAAGAACAAGCTAGGCTAGGGTGGGGAGCTGAGCAGGAAAGAGGGTTGTGAGGAAGGATGGATATCTAGCTACAGGCGTTTTGAGATTTGGTTTAAAAAGAAGGCGTGGCTCACAGCCAAGGGGTGGAAGCAACTGAAATGTCTGCTGGAGATGGATGGATAAGGAAGATATGGCAAACCTGTACAGTGGAATAGTACTCAGACTTCAAAAGGAAGGGAATCCTCTTGCATACTGCAGCATGAATGAACCTGGAGGACATTATGCTGCATGAAATAAGTCTACCACAAAAAGACAAATACCACATAAAACGCTTACAGACAGCAGAATGATGACTGCAGGAGGGCTGGGGTGAGGTGAAATAGGAGTGTTTCCCTTAGATATAGTTTCAGTTTTGCAAGATAAAAAAGTTCAGATCTGTTGCACAGCTATGTGCCTGTGATTAACACTGCCACACTATGTAGTCATCCCTTGATATCTGGGGATTGGTTCTAGGACCCCCTCCTTCAGATACCAAAATCCATGGATGCTCAAGTCTCTGATATAAGATGGGACACTTTAACCCTTAATAGTTTAAGGTAAAAAAAAAAAAAAAGGCGAGGGGAGAGGGATACTCTTTGCATATAACCTGCATACATCTTCCATATATTTTGAGTCATCTCTAGACTACTTCTAATACCTAATACAATGTAAATGCTCTGTAAATGGCTGTTACACACTGCATTGTTTAGGAAATAATGACAAGAAAGCCTGTGCGTGTTCAGTACAGACACAGCCATCCTCGGCCTAACTATACAGTACATGTCAGTAACAACGTAACACTTGATCCAGGGCTGGCTGAATCAGCCTGTGAAACTCACCTATATAGTGGTACTGAGGGCTCACTTACACTTGACAAATGGTTAAGATGGCGAATCTTATCTGTTTGGGGCCATAATAAAAGAAGAAGGAAGCATGACTCTCCTGGTTCCTCTTTCTCCTTAAACCTCAGCTGGGCTGTCAGCAGAGAGTGAGGGTGACATCTTGGTGTGCATAGGTGGCCTGGGAGTTTGGTAGCCCAGTGCAGCTACTGCTGGGCTCATGGCAGGCATTGTGGGGGTTCTTTGGGGCCAGGCAGTTGTTGAAGCTCTGCAGCTGGACCACCCCACCTGCCTCCTTTACAAAGTCAGACTTCAAGGGTGTGCAACCCTCCTAGGAATCAGAATTCCATTCTTGGAGTTGTTTAGAATTCTCAGGCAGGCTCTGGCTGTTCTTCCTCCAGTTCTGTGATGGTTTGGAGTGGACTATTTTTGGTACAACTAATTTACTGGAACCATGCATTTTTTATTAAGATCTAATAATTAACTTGCTGGATTTTCTGGTAGAAAAGCTTTGGTCTAGTAAAATGGATCTTAGGCATTTTTTATTTGGGAAATGAAGGAGAAGCTGTGTAAGAATAAAGAGAAATTTTATCTGATTTTAGAGGTTTTTATGGACTCTTGCCCAGTTAGGTTTGACCTGACCTGGGAAAATAATGATCAACTCATGTTTACATAAACAAGCCGACTGCAGGAACGAGGAGGCCCTGGGGGCCCTGGGCACTGCTTATCTTGCCAACATTCCACCCCCAGCAAGAGCTCTAAGCAGAATTTGGTGCCGACCTTTTCCTTCAAGGTCCTGACGTTGACATACTCCCTGCTCCTTCTACAGTCAGAACAACACGTTCCTAGGAGCTAATACCTCAGGGGGACTTTATTGTGCCTCTAAGGCGATTATTTTTTTCTTCCTGTTTTTTGTTTTAGTTATTAGAACCTTTCCAAAAATAAAACCTTGAATGTAAACATTTATAGAATTAATTTACATATGTGGGAAAAAAATCCAGAGCTGCTTGAATGAAAGTATGGATGGTGGTGTGGCCAGGCCTATGCCTGCTCTCCCTACACATACACCCACCCTAGAGCCCTACGTAAACTCTGAGATGTCTCCAGAGTACAGTTTGAAAACTACAGCTCCAGGGCAATATAAGGAATTTGCATTCTCTATAATTTTTTTTTTGAGGCATAATTGAAATAGAGTAAAAATTTACCCTTTTTAACATCCAGTTCAACACATAATTGTGTATCTATCATCATAAGATATAGAACAGTTTGATCCTCACCCTCCAAAACTCCACAGTGTCCTTTTGAGAGGTGACAATGGCTAGCAGCCCTCACTCTTGGTGCCTCCTCGGCCTTGGCGTCCACTCTGGTGGCGCTTGAGGAGCCCTTCAGCACGCCACGGCACTGTGGGAGCCCCTCTCTGGGCTGGTCGAGGCCGGAGCCTCTGCTTGCGGAGAGGTGTGGAGGTAGAGGTGCACGCGGGAACTGGGGCTGCTCACAGTGCTCATGGGCCAGCGCGAGTTCCGGGTGGGCGTGGGCTCAGCGGGCCCCGCACTTGGAGTGGCCGGCCGGCGCCGCCGGCCCCTGGCAGTGAGGGGCTTAGCACCTGGGCCAGCAGCTGCAGAGAGTGCGCCAGGTCCCCCAGCAGTGCCGGTCTGCCGGGGCTGCACTCGAATTCTCCCCGGGCGTCAGCTGCCTCCCTGCAGGGCAGGACTCTGCGTCAGCTGCCTCCCCGCAGGGCGGGACCTGCAGCCCGTCATGCCCGAACCCGCCCTCCATCCCCGCGGTGGGCTCCCGCACTGCCGAGCCGCCCCCTGCTCCACCCCGCTCAGTCCCATCAACTGCCCAGGGGCTGAGGAGTGTGGGTGCACGGCGCGGGACTGGCAGGCAGCTCCGCCTCTGGCCCCGCTGCTGGATCCACTAGGTGAAGGCAGCTAGACTCCCGAGGATAGTGGGGACTTAGAGAACTTTTATGTCTAGCTAAGGGATCATAAACGCACCAATCAGCACTCTGTGTCTAGCTCAGGGTTTGTAAATACACCAATCGGTACTCTGTATCTGGCTAACCAAGTGGGGACTTGGAGAACTTTTCTGTCTAGCACTGTGTCTAGCTAAAGCATTGTAAACGCACCAATCAGCACTCTGTGTCTAGCTCAGGGTTTATAAATACACAAATCAGCACTTAACATGTGAAGGAACAAACACTGGACACACCATCTTTAAGAACTGTAACACTCACCGTGAGGGTCCACAGCTTCATTCTTGAAGTCAGTGAGACCGAGAACCCACCAATTCCGGACACACTTTTGTAGTCACCTCCTTCCCCCACCCTCAGCCCCTGGCAACCACTTCCTTCCCTGACTCTCAGCCCCTGGCAACCACTTCCTTTCCTGACCCTCAGCCCCTGGCAACCACTTCCTTCCCCGACCCTCAGCCCCTGGCAACCACTTATCAAGTTTCTTTCCCCATAATTTTACCTGTTTCCAGATGCCATATAAATGGAATCATACGCCTGGCTTTTGAGTCAGACCTCTTTCACCTAATATAATGTATTTGAATTTTATCCATGCTGTGTGTATCAGAAGTTTTTTCCCTTTAGAAATTATATCTTAAAGGAAAACACATTTTTATACCCAAGATATTTTGAGCTTTAAAATGAATACTTTAAAACATTTATTTATTTGCTATATTTACAGGTTACAAGTGCAGGTTTCTTACATGCATGTATTGCGCAGTGGTGAAGTCTGGACTTGTAGTGTTACCTCACCTGAAGAGTGAACATTGTACCCAATAGGAAGTTTTCCAACCCTCCCCTCGTACCCCCCCACCCTCCCACCTTTCATAGTGCAATGTCTGTCATTCCACTCTTGATGGCCATGCATACTCATTGTTTAGCTCCCACTTATAAGAACATACGGTATTTGACTTTATGTTCGTGAGTTATTTCACTGAGAATAATGGCCTCCAGTTTCATCAGTGTTGCTGCAAAAGATACGATTTTGTTTTTTTTTTATGGCTGAGTAATATTCCGTGGTATATATGTGCCTCATTTTCTTTATCAAATCCTGTGTTGAAGGGTGCTTAGGTTGATTCTATATTTTTGCTACTGTGAATAGTGCTGCAATAAACATATGAGCACATGTATCTTTCATATATAATGATTTCTTTTCTTTTTTTTTTTTTTTTGAGACGGAGTTTCGCTCTTTTTGCCCAGGCTGGAGTGCAATGGCATGATCTCGGCTCACCGCAACCTCTGCCTCCTGGGTTCAAGCGATTCTCCTGCTTCAGCCTCCCGAGTAGCTGGGATTACAGGCATGCGCCACCATGACTGGCTAATTTTGTATTTTTAGGAGAGACGGGGTTTCTCCATGTTAGTCAGGCTGGTCTTGAACTCTCGACCTCAGGTGATCCACCCGCCTCAGCCTCCCAAAGTGCTGGGATTACAGGAGTGAGCCACCGCGCCCGGCTATATATAATGGTTTCTTTCCCTTTGGGTATATACTCAGTAGTGGGATTGCTGGTTCGAATGGTAGTTAAAATGAACACTTTTTAAAACTAGAATATTCTAGCCGAGCCTCTCTTGGGATCCAGTTGGTTTTCTGTGCTCTTCTTATGTTGAAATTGATGCTGTCCACAGTTGCCTGTTTGGCTTCCTGGAAAAATACTAAAGAGACTACAGTGTGAAGGTAACCTACCAAATAAAGGTGGCTCCCTTACCTGTGTTTTCAGGGCATGATGCCACATTCACTGCCCAAAGCCTGCCAGACACTGTGACTTCAGTGAGCAACTGTTGACAGTGAACGTTTCTGTGGACTCTGTATTTGTATTCCTATAGGCTCATCAGATTCAAGAGATGTTTCCCCAGGTTCCATACCATCTAGTGCTGCAGGACCTCCAGCTGACACGCTCAGTTGAAATAACAACAGACAACATTTTAGAAGGACGGATTCAAGTACCTTTTCCTACACAGGTAAAACTGGGGTTTTAAAGCATGATAAATGGATTCTATCTTCACAAAGATTGAATACTGTAGGTTAACTGTTTTAGTTACTTAACAGCTCAATATCATTTATGACTTAATGAATGGTTTCTATCAACTCTCTTAACTTTGCCTAATGAATAACTGAGAACAGACACATCAAAGATAAGGTGAGTATTTGAGTAGCTTGTTATTCAAATATATACTCCAAACCAGCCTGCCCTTGCCAGTCCAGGAAGTCATAGTGTTGGTTCCTATTGGACAAGGATTGGCAACATTTTTTTCTTTAAAGGGCAGGTAATAAATATTTTAGGCATTTCAGGCCACACAATCTTTGTCGCTTCTCAATTCTGCTGTCATAGTACTATACAGCAGCCGTGGATAGTATTTAAGTAAATGAGCAAGACTGTGCTCATTTATAAGTAAGTAGAGTAGAGTAGTGAACTTGACCTTCAGGCTGCAGTTTGCCAACCCCCTGCTCTAGGAGCTGTGCCATTTGTCCCTAGTTGGCTTTGCATACTGGTTTGGTGTTCCACTAGCTACCATTCATCTATCTGAGGTGGTATTTTTGATTTTTAAAAAGGTCAGATCTCTACTTTGATGAGCATAAGAAGTATTAATATAGATGAGCCTTCTGGCAGGACCATGGAATTTGCATATGACCAGGGAATAATCTACCCCAGATTATTCAATTTTAATATGTAAAAATATGTGGAAATCTATTAATAAAATTCTAAAACCTGAGACTCTTTGAAGAAGAAACAGCATAGACTCAGTCACATGGGCTGAGATATTAGATGTGGTTCCCAGTTCTCAGCTCTTTGACCTGGCTGTTGGCTGTGGATTTCCCCGAAGGCAGACTCTGGGACAAGGATTTGAATGCACATAGTTAGTTTGGGAAGTGGTCCCAGGGATCACAGGTTGTGTGTAGGGATGTGAGCTGGGGAGGGGAGGGTGGCCAGTAACGGGTTTGTTATCAAGCAGGTTACCACTGTGGGTAGCTGAAGCTCCTTCCCATTTGGGGCCTCTGGGATCCAGTGCAGAACATATCCCTCGCAGGAGATGAGGAGCTGGTGTCTTCACAGAGGAATTCTCTCCCTCACTGGCTGAGGTCTGCCTCTGGGGGTGGCTGAACTACCTCATACAGCCACAGAAAGTCCTCAGGCAATGAAATACAGACACTGGCCAGCCAGCACTGAGGTGGTGAGACCTTACTGGCCGGTCCCCAGAGTGTCTGCAGCATTGTGTGAGATCTTTAACTGGCTAGAAGGACAGTAACAGCAGCACCTGTTTCATAGGATGCGAAGATAGATGAGACAGTCATGTCCCAGTTTTCCTTGGTGCCATGCTGAAGTTACGTGTTCAGTCTGTGTTCTCTGCTGTTATCATTGTTTTTGTTGTCTAATTACTGTTACTCAAAAGCAAACTAATTGTGGGGCCAGTTGCTGACTCTAAGACTTGGAACTCTAGGTTAGGCCCCAGGCTCCTTTGTCTTGCTTTTAATCTTTATGGCATTTTAATTTCTGTGGTGCTGTAGACTTCCTTAGAGTTACAGGCTGGGTTGGGTACCACAGCTCCCTCTGCACACCAGGGTTTCCCTGAGTCTGTGATTTGATTTCTGAGTGACTCTGGATTGTTTGTGGTGCTGTTTTTCTTCCAGCGGTCAGATAGCATCAGACCTGCACTGAACAGTCCCGTGGAAAGGCCAAGCGGTGGCCAGGAAGAGGGAGAAACTTCTGCTCAGGTAAGACCCGCACTCTAGTGAGAGAGTTCATGGAGCTGTGGAGGCGGAATGTGGTCCAGTCCCGGCAGTGGTTCTTCCTCAGTCCTGAGGCTTGCAAGGCTTAGGGCAAGAGGACAGAAGAAACTGTGCTGTATCCGCCCCAATAATGAAGGGCAGCCAGTCAGGCTGTGCCCGTGGTGTGGCCTGTTTCCACCCAGAGCTGGCAGCCATTGCCTGGGGATTGCCCTCATGCTGGAGGAGAAGGGGGTTGTCTTCCCCTGGGCCAGCCCTGCCACCTTGAGCCTGAGTGAGAGCCAGTGGAATGACAGAAGGAAGCTGGGCTGAGGACCTTGAGGGTGCCTGGACCCATCTAAACCCAGATGGGGATGGCCTAGGGCAAGCTCTCCAGGGAGCCGAGGCCATTGAGATGCCCTCCCCCCACCTCACTTGTCAAACTCAGGATTTCCAGATACTTCCGTGCATTTTGCAAAACTGAGACTGCCTGAGGCTGGGTGGGGCTGGGGGAAGCCTGGCTTTCTTGAGAACCAGATCTGTCTGTTGGCCCACTTTGGGTGCCTTGAGGTGGCCACCCTAACTCCAAGCAGCAGGGTCGAGGCGCCACCTCCCCCAACCCCCACCTGCGCCCTCCTCCCTACATCTGTGGTCCTGGATCCCACTCCTCTTCTGTGATTCCCTTTGCTTCCTCAGTTACCATACTGTCAGAGCACTTGCTTATGCGACCACAAATAAAAACTGAACAACCCCTCCTTGGCCTTTCTGTGTTGGCGCCGTGCAGGGCTTTCCTGCACACTGACTTGGGTCTAGGGTGGTGCTGCCTTCCTTACCGGGGTGCGCAAGGTCTCCTCTAGAAGCACTGGTGAGTGACACAAGCTTTCACCTCTCGTGTTTTACAGATAGGAAACAGTAAACACTACTAGGCCAGTAAACACTACTGGCTTAAGATTTTCATATCCACATCTGTAATTGGATTATGCATCATTTGTGAAATGGTGCATGACTTCTAAGGAAGGGGGTCCATGTCTGCATTTCCAGTTTTTGGATAGCTGGTGAAGCTGAGATATGGACGCTGGGTGGACTTGGGGGCATCTGTGGGTACAGCACATTCAGTCCCTGTCTTGATTTTCCACCTCTGCTTCTAGAGTTAGCATGAAGATTTCTGGATTTTATATATATATATAAAATAGAGGAAAGTATGTGTTTCACAAGAAACCTTGCTGTGCAACATTTTTGGTCATTTGTGAAGAAAAAGTCCTTGAGTAACAGTTAACAGAAACCTCACTGTAGCCAAGTAAGCCCTTCCACTCTCCCTCTGTTCTAATCTCTGCCCTGCCCCGCTCAGGCTGGTCTTAGGCATGCAGCTGCACAGAGCAGGGGCCGCAGTGGGCGGCTCTTGTCCTTCTCACATCTCCTCGCCTCCTCACTCACCGTTCTTTCTAACCTGCCCTAGGGTCAGGCTTAGAGGAGATGGATAGGATAGGACAGTGAGACCCCAGCGTGTGTGTGTGTATGTACGTACATACATGTGCCAACTATTTGTGTCTGTGTGTGTGTGTGTACATGTTCTGCCAACTATCCCCCTGTCCCTCTCTGGCCCCAGAAACTCCTCCTTTGACCCTGGGCTGGCTATTGATGACCACTCCCACCCTCATGGGGGTCCCATTACCTCTCCAAGTGGTCCTTAGGGCAGAGTTGTTTTCAACAACCTTAGGTTGGTTCCGTTGTGTAGGAGGCCTTTCCAAGCTCCGGAACACACACAGTGTTGTCTGTTGTCAGTGGAAGGGCAAGCGTGCTCCTGTCACAGCTCCCCACCTGCTGTGTTTTTATTGACTTCTGCCAGTTTCTTTCTGTGGATTTGTTAAGTGTGGGCAGCCACCAGGTCCCCCGTCCTTTGACTCTAGGGGATACGAGTGGTTCTCTTGAAGTTCACTCTCAAGCTTAGCTGAAGGCAGGAAAAAATGAGGGTAGCTCCAGCAGGGACTCTGAAGTAAAACAGCCTACCTCTCAGCTGCACCCACCTCCGCTCTGTCACAGCCTAGCAGCAGGCGATGGGCTGACCCTGGCCAGCCCAGGGCTGCATCTGGGAGCATGAGCAGCGCAGATGGTCAGGCACCTGCCAGGACGCGGGGGTGCCTGGGCATTGTCGTGGACTTTGGAGCTTCAACCAAAGCCAAGGAACCATATAATCTATCCTGTCTCTTTTCAAAAGATCCTTAGGGCCGGGCACAGTGGCTCACACCTGCAGTCCCAGCACTCTGGGAGGCTGAGGCAGGTAGATTGCCTGAGCCCAGTACTTTGAGACCAGCCTGGGCAACAAAGCAAAACCCTGTCTCTACAAAAAGTACAAAAATTAGCCAGATGTGGTGGCATGAGCCTGTGGTCCCAGCTACTTGGGAGGCTAAGTTGGGAGGATCACCTGAGCCTGGGGAGGTTGAGGCTGTGGTGAGCCGAGATTGTGCCACTGTACTCCAGCCTGGGTGACAGAGTGAGACCCGCTCTGTAAATAAATAAATAAATAGATGCTTAGCAGTTTTCCTTTTTACCTCTGTTTTCAGAGTCAATTGAGGATATAAAATTTGTGCAGAAGATTTGATAAGACTGGTTTACATTTTTGAGCAATTAGTAGAAGTGAACAGAAAATTCCCAGGATGTAAACTCACATTTGTCGTGTTGGTAGCATATTCTGAGAGTGCAGGTTGAAGGTGCTTAAGTTTTTCATGCTGGAAATCATTTCCTTATCCCTCTGATACTGAACATTCTGTGTGAGTCAGGCCCTGTTCTTAGTACTACTCAAGCTATAGGCAGCAGGCCTGCCCTCAGGGAAGCTGCTGCTCCATTAGCTGTAGCTTGTGGTTCCTAGTTTCTGCCTCCCTGCTTGGCAGCAGCCTTCTCTTTGCATCCAGAACTACCTTGTCTAGGGTGCGCTGTAGGTGAGGAACCTGCTTAGGAGGGAGGCCTGTGCTCACAGCTGCCTCCTTGCTTCCTGCCCCATGTCCAGACCGAGCGTGTGCCACTGGACCTCAGTCCTCGCCTGGAGGAGACGCTGGACTTTGGCGAGGTGGAAGTGGAGCCCAGTGAGGTGGAAGACTTTGAGGCTCGTGGGAGCCGCTTCTCCAAGTCTGCTGATGAGAGACAGCGCATGCTGGTGCAGCGTAAGGACGAGCTCCTCCAGCAAGCTCGCAAGTGAGTCGCTTCTCCAGCCCCGCTTGGCATAATCCAGGTCAAAAACCAGTGGCTGAAGGCCGTTGGCAGGCCCACATCTTCTCTTTTTAAACAGATGCCAACAGTGAAAAGCCATTACATGCCAACCTAAAACTCAGATTTCAAGCCTGTCTTGAAAAATCCAGAGCATCTGGTAACACTGGCCCCTACTGGTCTACCTCTGATGCTGGTACTCTCAGTTATCTCCTGTGCCCCTTTGGCCACGCTTGCCAAGGGAGCACTTGTGTGCCAACCTATTCTAAGCCCTTTATATGAATCATTTTCACAGCTCTAAGAGGGATCTCTGTTAACCCATTCGGCCGACACAGAGCTGAAGAAGTGGAGGCCGGAGAGGTTAGCCCTGGCCTGGCCCTGGTGTCTGCCTCCCAGGTGTCCTCCCTCTTGACCACTCTGCCTTTCAGCCGAGCATTATGAACACACATGGAGCATCTGTGCGTCACACCCCCATGGTTGGTGGCAGCTGCGGCAGGTGTATCCTGTAGATAGAGGGGGTTTTGTTCCAGCTCTTGAGGACAGGGCCAGTACTGTGTTCATCGAGTGGGTTTGGGCCCTGGCAGACCCTGTGATTGTGAGGGTTCTGTGCTGTGTCTGTGGGTAGAGGGGAAGGGCACAGAGAGACAGCACGGAGCAGCACTGAAGGGTTCCTCCCTGGTGCAGAGAGAACTAGCTCCCATCTGTTGGGGGCTGGATGTCTTGGTCATGAGGTGGTGCTGAGTGACAGCTTCATGAAGGTGCCTGGACGTGGGGAGATGTGGAATCAGCCTTCTGGCTGTGTTCCACAGCAATCCATCTCTCCCATGAGACAGAAAAAACTTCTGTTTTTTTCTAGACGTTTCTTGAACAAAAGTTCTGAAGATGATGCGGCCTCAGAGAGCTTCCTTCCCTCGGAAGGTGCGTCCTCTGACCCGGTGACCCTGCGTCGAAGGATGCTGGCTGCCGCCGCGGAACGGAGGCTTCAGAAGCAGCAGACCTCCTAGCGCTCCCTTGCCTTCCTCAGCTGCCTCCTGCGCCCTGTGCCCAACCGACCGGAGGAGGCCTGTCCCAGTTCTGCCCGCTGTGTGGAGAAGCGGGCTTGACTGCATTGCCGCTGTATAAAGCATGTGGTCTTATAGTGTTTGGACAGCTGACAAATTTAATCCTTCTTTGTAATACTTTCTATGTGACATTTCTCTTCCCCTTAGAAACACTGCAAATTTTAACTCTAGGCATGATCTCTTCTGGTGTTGACTGGACTGCTTGGGGTAGGGGATGATCAGGAGGAAGTGAGCAGTCGCCTGCCTGCAGCAGGCAACTTCAATTCCTGCCTCGTGTGTACATCCCACAAATGCAGGTGTCCTGAGCACCACATCCAGTGGGAAGAGTGTCGGGGAGACGCACAGTGTGAGCCTGCCCCCACATCATGGGGTAACATCTGTTATCAAACCGCTGTCCTTGTTGTGGAAGCACGTAGACTGTGCCAGAGGCCAGGCCCACGGGCTCAGGCACCCCTGAGCCAGCAGGGCGTCTTGGAAAAATAACTCTTGGTTCAATACCTGGAGCAGAGGAGGGGAAAGCCCAGGGCTGCAGGGTGTGACAAAATCACCCCTTTCTGTCCCACTGTATCTGGGACTTTCTGATCCCCCAGTCCAAAGCCGGCTTGATTTCCGCGAACTCTGGTGCTCCTGCATCTCATGAGTGTGCCCCATGGGTTCCCTCCCCTCTCAGCATTTCCTTGTCCCCTCTGGACCTGCGGAGTGGTTAAGCAGCAAGCTTTGGTTTATGGTTTTCATTCACTGGTCAAGTACATTAGGCAATGCTAAAGCCTGTGGGTTTGGTCCTTGAACAAGATGTGGGCCTTGCAAGATGGGAGAGTAAACCTCGAAGGGCTTTATTAAAGAAATAAAAGAGAACTTTTGTATCTTTCATCCTGGGAGCACTGCGTTTTCCTAGCTGTGTTCTTCCTGGTTTAATTCAGCAGAGAAGGTAAGGTGTGAACCTACATGCCTTGGAGCAGGCCCAGGTCCCAAATCTCTTCAAATTCTTCACATGTTTAACTTTAAGGATTTGAACTGTGCAGTCTTAGGTTGCAGACTTCAGTTTTATGCCCCACTGGATTACTTTTTTTTTTTTTTTTTTTTGAACTGTTTGAAAGCTTTGTTTTGTGGTAGTCCTTTTGGGAAGAATCCAGTATTATCTACAATTATTGGCAAAGTTTAAATGTATTTTACATAACTGAAAGTTTTTAGAATGTTGAAAAGTAATTGAAAAACGTGATAGGTAAATTTTTAGGCAAAGATAATTTATTTCAATAAATCTTTCAAAAGCCTTACCTTGAAATGCTGTTAGTAAATTTCTGTGATTTTTTTAAAAAAAAATTTTGTTTTGCTGAGAGCATAGCTATTTGTTTTTATTGTAAAACAACAGTAATAATAATAAAAAGCAAACTCTACTGATGTGTGTGGCTGGAAGCTAAGGCATCTCTTTCCAGAGGTGCCAACGTTAAACCCCATTTTGATTTGGATTTTGTGTGTACTATTTTGGTTGGAGGGTTTTTCCCATGTTTTTGAATTGGGAACTTTTATTTTTCCTAGTAGTATATGTGGAGGAGGCAGAACTGCATTTTTCTTCCCCTTGTATTTATATCATTTTTTTTCAGGTAAGTGGGTAACAGAAGATTATTTTACTCTCCTCGAATTACGTTATGCTTTACACATTGCACCCACTATAGGTGCCACTAATTCCACATATTCACATGTTTCTGATGTGTGAGAAGACAAAATTATTTGGATCAATTTTAGAGGGTCTTGACACATTACAAAACAGCCAAACCACAGTGTTTAGAGCAGGGGCTTATTAAGTAGCTTAAAATGATCCAAGAAGTGAAGTCCTCAGTCTGTCCTCCATTTTACACCTGGATACTTAAGGATTTCACCACTTCCTGGGGGCATCCGGGACAGGTGCTGAGGGTAGTGGCAGTTATGCTGGGGCTTCCCCTCCCAGGACCCCTTTTGCTGCCCTGGCTAACTGCAGGGTCAGGCAGATGGTCCTCACACCCAGCCCCTGGAGAAGCAGCACTCAGGTCGGGCTGTGGGTCCGGGTTTGTAAGCGTAGCAGCAGGAGCGTCCGGGTGCTCTGGCGGATGGTGGTTGAGCTGCCCCTGGCCTCTGTGGGCTCTTTTGGAATGAGGCTGTGTTGCCCTCTCCATTTTCTTAGTGGCCCTGTTTTGTTGACCTCCTGGATTCTCGTCAGTTTTTGTTGCCTTTTGAATGTTGAGGCTTTTATGTACCATAGAGGATGGTGGACCATGTGGCTATTTTCCTTGTGTTGATGTGAATCCAGGTGCCCAGGTGGCCTCTTGGGCCTGATTTTCCACTTGGGCTGAGTAGACAATGTGCCCTTTTATCTGTAGCCAGCCGACTTGATCCTGTCAGTGGTGACTTTCAGTCCTGCTGGAGCAGGACACACATGGAAAAGGAAACCACGGCCTTGCCAACAAGCCCTGGTGAGGAGCAGCGGCCGCCTACCTGCCCTCGAAGGCCCTCCGTCATCTGGAGCCTCCGTCTTGCCGGGCTGCTGCTTATCTGTTAGGTTAGACGTGGTTCCAACCTTGGCTGCATGTTAGAATCACTTGTGGAGCTTGCAGATAGTCACTTACTGTAAACAACCGCAGCGAGCCGCCTCTGGCAGCCCTCACACACGCAGGGCCAGGCTCTCACAGTGCGGGACAGAGTAGTCTCTGGGACCAAGGAGATCAGTCATGAAATACGAGAGGGCAGAGTTGACTTGAGAGGAATCTGTCCACTTGCAACTCTTGGGGTTCTGGTTCTGCGGGGGAAAAACAGGTTTCTCCCCAAGAGAGGAGTCTGTGATGCCTTTTCTGTTTTCCTTAAGAGCTCTGAGTCATTAGAGGTTCCCTCTAGATCTTTTCATGTGGTAGCCAAGATGGCCAAGAAAAAAGAGGAGGGAAGAGGGGAAGTAAGTGGGAGGATGATTTTTAGGAAACGAAGTGCACAGAGGAAACAAGCACATCATTTTTTTTTTTTTTTTTTAAAAGAGGGGGTTCCAGTCAACTAGAAAAAAATTACCAAAAACAGGATCCCAAAAGAGAAAAAGCAGGAAGGCCTTACCAATATAAACATATATCCTGAATATCAGGTTTTAATTAAGCTGACTTCTAACCGTAGAGCTCTTGAAATCCTTTCAAATCTCGTATTACCCGATTTTAGCTGGGACAAACAGCTGGTATTTCTGGGTTTTGGATCTTTTTAACCAAAGATACTCTCCCAGGTGGCAATGCCTTATCCACAAACATCAAAAGTCACACAAATATCAAACCAAAAGGAACTAATTCTCTGGGAATGGAATTGGCTTTAGCAGTGAAAGGGCTTTTTTTTTTTTTTTTTTTTTTTTTTTTTTTTTTTTTAAATCTTGCAGGGCATCTAAAGCAGGCGGTTTCAGTGTTTAAAGGATTTTAACTGGTTTCAGATCTGATGTCAGCCGGAATGTTGCTCGGATCATTCTCTGAATGTTAGCATTCCAACATCACTGTCAGTTATTAGTCCTGGTTTAGAAAAAAAAAATGTGTTGGGTCTGCTTTTTATAATCTCAGTAGTTTTATTTGTGTTCGTTTCCCCCCTTTAGAGAATTACTCTTTTAATTACTTGTCTTATTGCCCTAAGCAACTGCCAGCTAGGCAGCAAAGGCGCATTTTGGAGCCCCGTCTTCATTGGGTGGTCTAACTGGGCAAAGAACAGTCAGGAATCTGGCAGCCCCCAGAGCCAGAAGAGGTTCACGGTGACTCTGACTCTTCGACTTTCTCAGTAGAGTTTCAGGGCAGAGATCAGACCTGGAGGGATTCCACAGGTGGCGATGATGGATACCTTTTGTTTACCTCCTGAATAGAGGCCGTTTTCTCAGAATTTCTTCTAGAAGGTTTTTAGGTACCATTGGAAGTAAATCTCCTATTTGATTTGGTTCTAATTAGAACTAGCTTTTTCCAATTGTGTGCACAGATAAGCTAGAGGGGGAAAAGGATCTTTAAAAATATATATAACAGATAGGTTCTGCCCCCACTCTCCTTGTTGCAATTTAATTGGCCTTTTTGCTGCATCCTTTCCAAAAAATGCTATGACCTCCCATCTAAGAAAAATGAGGCAAATAAACTTCTGTTGGTTTTATCCGCAAAACTCATTTGAAAGTTGGGAAAGAACCCTACGAGAATATGGCTCAGTTTTTAGAGAAATTCAAATATGCCATATATAGAAAATGTCATGGTTTCCTTCAGCCTTCCATGTGGATCTTGGTTTGTTACAGAGTCAAACTGGGGCCTGGATTGCAAACCTTCCCCTCAATAGAGAAGGTAGGTCATGTGCCCCTCTCTGCAGATAACAAGTTGGGGTCTGGGGAACTGGGGGAAAAGCAGAAGAGGTTTAAGGGGTGCCTGTATTGGTTGGGTATTCATAACAGTGCCTCTTGTTCTTCCGTAGTCTCAGAAACAATATCCCCTGCCTCCACTCCCTTGATTCAAAAGGCTGCTGGAACTTGCCCGAGAGAGGCCTTTCTGAGCCTCTAATTCCCATTTGTTGGGATGCAGAGAGGATTCCAGGTAACTGACCTTTTGGCAGCTCCCCCATCTCACTGAAGACGGCATGATACATGATGCTTTTGGCCGCTTGGCCAGTAAGTGGCACGTGGATATGATGCAAGGAGTTCAGTGGGCTGCTGCTGCCTCCAGGCCCTTATTGCAACCCATTTGCTAATTATTACAGCAAAAGCGGGCCGATGTAGGGGATGGGTGAGACCTACAGTCTGGGGGAGGAACAAGGATCAGACTCCGCACGCCCCACCGCACTGCTGGGTTACCCTCTGCATGTTTGGTCTGCAGGGGCCTTCCTGACATCCAGGTGTAGTCAGGGAGCAAATTGAAGGCAGCCTTCCTGGTCAGGCTGGGCCCAAGCTCGTCCTGGGCATGTGAGTGGCTGGGAACTCTTGGGTGCAGATGGGCTCAGGCAATTGGCCTCATTCTTGGGATCATTCCTCCCACTGTGGGGGAACCGCTGGCTACAGAAGAAAGAGGATCCTGCATGATAGGAGAGGGGGCTCGCCTGCCCTCCTTGTATTTCTTCCTTCCTAATCCCCACTTCCACCTCATTTCTCGAAAGCAAACAACCTGCTGAGGGTGAGGAGGGGCCAGGAGCCGGGAGGAGAGGACATCGCAGGAGAAAGTGGCAGCTCCCCTGCCCTCATTCCCAGGTGGCACTGGGCAGTGGTCGCGTCAACTGTGCTCTGAGCTGGGGCCCCAGTGACGGCCCTGGGGATGGGAAGGTCCTGTCAGGGACTCCTAACTGCCGGCCTGCCAGCGTGTGTGGCCGAGTCCCTCCTTCCCTCTCCTGCCAGAATGAAGCCCACCCCAAATAACCATTGTTGGAAGGCACAGGGTGAGACTCAGGAGTACAGACAAACATTCTCTTTTATTGAGCTACACAGGAATTTTCCATTAGTCAGAGAAGTAGACTGGCAGTGTGTAAGATATCACAGAAACCTCACCGATTGGGAATAGAAAGGCTTACAAAGACCCGTGGGCTTTTTTTTCTTTTTTCCTTTTTTTTTTTAATTTTTATTTTTTGTGTGTTTTGTCTTTTTGCCTCCTCTTTATTTGAAATGGCTGTGACTGGTCTTCTTCAGCAAAGATTAAGTCTTAAAAGTGAAACCGTGAAGAGGTTTGGGGTTTGGATATTAGTCAAAGTAGAAATGACATAGGATTGGTCATGAAAACGGTGGCTTTAATGTAAACACTACATTCCATCTTTTTAAATTTTTTTGTGTTTTTTTTTCCATCTTGTGGTATTTAAAAATTTTTTTTTGTTCTTTTTGTCTGCAGCACAAACATCCCCACATGAGAGAGCGGACACAGGGCACCGAAACAAAGGCAGAGGTGGGGAGGGGCGCACACACGAAGGGGGGTATCAGCCGGGACCGGAAATCCAACACAGCAAAGGAAAAAAACCACAACCCGTTTCCCAAAGACTAGGAAAACTGATCTTGGATTGGGGGTGTAATACATAGTACTCAGCAGGACAAAAAAAAAAAAAAAGAACCCAAAAAACCCCACAAAGGCTATCTGTAGAAAGGGGGTTGGTGGGCAGATTGTTTTCTATGGGGCTGGATTTCCATATACGATGGGTGTTCTTTTTGGCAGCTACTGGCCAGTGAGAGCTGTGCTTTTTCTATACAAACCTGGAGTAAGCATGTGGCGGGAGTGGCTTAGGGCCGCGAGGTGGCGTCTGTGGTGTCTGGGCGGCCGGCAGGCAGCAGGGTTTGCAGGGGCCTGTGGCCTTCTGGAAACCCCGGCCTGAGCACACTCCTCGGATCGGTGCACCGCACCGGGACCC